AAAATCTATACAATCTGCAGCTGAAAATAGTCCCCTAACGAACGCTCTGTTTAGTCCTGGTTGAGCAACGTTTGCTAAAACCTGGACCTTTTCTGTTTCAGGTAAATTTTAGACATGTATAATCTATTGTTAAAGGTTTACATCTCGCAGGAATGCCACAATAAATCAAAAAGTATTTAGAGATGACCCCAACACATTATTGGTTTTTGTCTTGTCGTAGGAACCTTATCTTTTAAATGAATGGATAAAATGATGATGTATAACAGAGGAGAGTCTAGAGACGATATGTGTTTGTGCTACACAGGAAATCATTCAGCAGCTTATAGAGAACAGCACCACATTCAGAGATAAGACTGAGTATGCCCAGGCAAAGTACATCAAGAAGAAAAAGAAGAAGTGAGTCACTTCTAATTATACAACCACAATGTGTTACAGACTAAAGATAACGTAGAGTGCTGTAATTAGTGTTATCAGTTGTTCCCATCTCGTGCTTTCTCAGGTATGAAAATACTGTGACGATTCTAAAACCGTCGTGTCGCATCCTGGCGATGATGTACCATGGCCGGGAACCAGGGAAGATCTGGTGAGTCAGCACATGGATTAACAGAATGTGTGAAAGTTGTCTTTTAATGTGCAGAGAGAGACAAATGTATGATGTGGATGTCTCTGTTTAATGCAGCCACCTGCGGTATGACACACTTGCCCAGATGTTGACTCTGGCAAACATCCACGCTGGCAGCAAAGTTTTGGTGTTTGACACCTGCGCTGGTCTCGTGCTGGGAGCTGTCATGGAAAGAATGGGAGGTACGTTAGTCCTATTAACTTTTCTGTTGTTTATATCTATTTGGCTAAAGGATTTTAGTTATTTTTATCCAAAGAATCTACATAATCGTGCTACCAAAGTCTTGTCTTTGTCCTCTGCATAATTACCCTCTCTTTCCTCCTCATTCAGGCTATGGCTCAGTGATCCAAATGTACCCAGGAGGCGGGCCTGTACGGGCGGGTGTGGAGAGCTTTGGCTTCCCTGCACATTTTCACGATATGCTGCATGAGTTTCCCATCTGCCATGTCAACCCTCTGCTGGCAGGCACTCTGGACACCACGGCCAAAGACCCAAATGCTGGTACAACCTGCCTTTTTTTTTTTTTTTTTTAAATGAAAAAAAATCTCTCCAAGATGTTTAGAAGCTTGTTTTTACATGAAAGGGAGTACCGACGAGGTAGTGATGAAATGCCAAAGAAACATTTCCCTGTTACAACTGAACAGATGCTAAGATTTGCATGTGTTCCTCCGATAGCCATTTTATTTATGTATTGATATTAACAAAAACATAGACTAGATTAATCAGCTAATTCACAAAATGAAACGGTAACTATCATGTGTATATGTATCTATTCTGTGGCACTTTACTGATGTGATAACCTCTTCCAAAATTCCAGATGAAAAGCAGTCTAACAAGGCTACAGAGGAGGAGCAAAACCAGCCTAAGGCAGAACAGCAGGGCAGTCCAGAGGAGCGGAGCATGGAAACCAACGCTGGTGATGACGCTGGCCAGGAGCAGGAGAAAAAAGAGAAGGAGAAACGCAAGGAAGCCAAAGTATGTCCAATATTTACTAACCCCACTTTCAAAAATCTTCTCGTTTCCTTTTATAATTGGAATCAGTAGGAACTAGTCACTACGTGTATAAAATCAATGTTGAGTGGCAGACCAGCAATTAATGTTTCTTACACTTTTTTTTCGGACAATCAGGGTATTACAACGACACAAAGTTATACTTCTTGTTTGAAGGCAAGATCTGGAAGAGATAGTGCCCTGACTTTATGCTTTTTTTTTTTTTGGTTTTTGTAGGCTCAGGAAAAAAAGGTGAAGCTGGAGGAGAAACGGAAGAAGCTAGCAGCTGCTGCTGCCCTGCTGGAAAGCAGAAATGCAGACGGGTTTGTGTCAAGAGTTTTTGTTTTGTTATAGTTGTTTTTTTGTTTTTTTTGCCTGTTTCCCTGCACTGTTCTGCTTTTCTCAGCATCAGCTACTTTCTCTTTCACTTCTGTTTTACCAGTTCTGGATTGCTCCACGTAGTCAACAACAGTAATTAAAATAGATCTACAGGGATGAAAAATGGATTCATACTAATTAAAGTAATGTTAAGTATGTCCATAAAAGTCATGATAAATCATTTGCCTTGCTCTGAGCTCATTCACAGTGATTAACACACGGTACCCTCACAAGGTGAATGAGGTGATTGCGTCGCAGTTTCCTGTCATATAAAGTGAAGAACTTGCTTTATAGCCATTTCATGATTGATTGATGAAGTGTTGTGGCGCTGACATCCGAGTCAGATGAACAAGTATTGATCTGGTTCGCCTATTTATTTACCTCTCCTCTACATCATAGCAGCTATATCATAAACACATTTTCCAGACTGTCCTAAATCAGCCTCTTTTACTGACTCTCATTCAGCTTTATAGGAGATGAAATGAACGTCGACAATAGGAAGGCACTAAATCCCTAAGTTTTCCGGTAATAAGTCATACGCAGCACTGATGCTAAATTACGATATTGCCTACCTACACATTTCCAATAACAGAGTGTGCTGTTGACAGCGTATTTCATATCAGACAGGTTTGCTTGATCATCTTGTTTGTTTCTAATTGCAGGTTGGTTATAGCCAGTCGTTTCCACCCATGTCCCGTCCTAATGGGCCTGCTCAAATTCCTCTCCCCCTCCAGGCCGTTTGTAGTCTACTCTCAGTACAAAGAGGTAAGATCATCACGACCGGTGGCATGTAGAACTACACAACACTGTTGATATGCCTTACTGAGTGAAGATAATTCTCTATCTTAGAAGGATCTCTCATTAGCAGCCTCTGCACACAGGTTTTTATTGCTTAGAGTTGCAGCGGGAAATGTCCTTATTTCATTACTGCAGCAGACTTCCCTGTCACTGCCAAGGAGTTACAATGCCTATCACGTTCCTGCGCTTATTACCTCTGTTGTGCTTATGTTGCTAAAAAGATCATACTGTGTGTGTGCGCGTGTTGGCATGTTGGCTCTGCAGTCCTCCTCCTTAATGCTGCTTTTTTTTTTTTCCATCTCTTCCCCCTCCATCTCTGCAGCCTCTTATCGAGTGCTACACAAAGCTCAGGGAACATGGTGGCACAGTCAACCTCAGACTCACAGACACCTGGCTTAGACATTATCAGGTAAACTCTTTGTACTTTTTTGTCTCGTTTTGTTGTATTTAAAGCTGTTCTAATCAATATTCTTATATTAACAAATGAATCAGCTGTGTGACTGTGTGTTGTAAAGGGTTAACTCAGTGATTCTCCTCAGTCTGATGGACTGTTTTAGCGTCTTTCAGCTCATTGCTTTGGTTTTAGTCAAAAACTTGTGAAACTGTTTAGTCTCAGTCGCGCCATTCTAATGAGCACTTTTTTTTCAGATGTATCAGGAAGCAGTTCACAGCTAAAAAAAAATCTCCAAAAAACCCACTTTACACTACTTCCCCAACAACAAACAGCAGCCAGACAAATCTAGCAACTTGCTGATAAACATAGCATAACATTTGGCTGCTTAGCTGCCAGACTCCCTCAGTGGAGTGTAACATAGAGCAGAAAAGAGAGTGAATATTGGACTTACAAGATGGTTCCAAACAGATACTACATATACTAAATACTGAACAGGTACTACAGACACTAGGCCTTTTCTCTTGTCCTCAAATGGACAAAATATCAATTAATGCTGGTCTAATGCTAAATAGTGAATAGGACTAATCCTTTTACTTTAAAAAAAAAAAAAAAAATTCAAATTAAGTCTAGAGGTATAAATGACAATAATTATTCTTTAGCAATTAATGTGTTGACTTTTTATGTATTGTTTTGTTGATGAAATGTCAGAAAATAATGGAAAATGCTTATGACAGTTTCCTGCAGTCTATGGTGACATTATCAAATTGATTGTTGTGTCTAACCAATATTCACTTTGCAATGGCAGAATATACAAAAGCAGCAAACTGTCACATTTGATCAGTTGAAACCAGCTAATGTTTGGCTTTTTGTTTAATAAATTATTTGAATAAGTGAAGACTACCAGAATTGTTTCTAATTCATTTTTGCCGATTCACTACTTGTTTTAGTGTAAAGTAAGCTTATCATCTTCTTCTAGAATAAAAAAATCATTGTTGCAGTCCTCTCTGTATTAACTCAATGGTGTTACACCTCAGGCCACATCTCAGATATTCTGCATTTGACAGAAGAGACTTGTACACACTGTTCCTAATCCATTATTACAGACTCTCCAGCATTTTCTTTTGGTCCTTCTTCAGAATCTTATAAGAAACAGCAACTAGATGAAAACAAAACAAATAATTTTGCATAATCAAAGAGTTCTTCACCCTCAGGACCAACATGTTATTTCCCCGCAGCCCTTCCTGTGGAATTAATGTCTCCTATGTTGTGTCCCTAGGTGTTGCCTAACAGGACGCATCCTGTGCTACTTATGAGTGGGGGTGGCGGCTACCTCCTCTCAGGTACAACGGTTGCCATGGACCGCCCCAAACCTGCAGGCTCCCAGCGAGTGGAGGAACCAGCACCAAAGAGACTGAAACTGACAGACACTGAGGGATAAACAAATACTCAAGCATCACATCTTTTAAGGGCACATTTCTAATGGCCTGTAGGGATTTTCCTCCAGCATTGACCTCCCTTTGTGCTGAACAGATTTGACACATCTGGAATAAGGGTGACAGAGTGTCTGGTTTGCATTCATCAGACCACTCTCTCCCGTCTTATGTATTCAGATCAGTGCAGCCGAAGGTGTAATGCTGAGGAGTAAACTGTAAGCCAGTTTAGGCTCTTGGAGCTCAGTGTATGTGTGTAAGGAATTGCTGAAATAATCTTTTGTATGTTGAGAGTAAGTGACAGGTTTGTGTTTCATGCCTCGAGACCAGGTGTAAAAACAGTTTTTTTTCCCCAGTTAATGCTCTCCAGCTTCTAACTTTTTTTTTCTTTTTTTTTTTTATCTTGTTATCCCTGCAGAAAGTGCCATTTGTCATATGATTCATTTGCTTGTGAAGTTTCACTGTGGGCTACTTCTGTATCTGCACAGAATTAAAAAGCAGTACTAAAGAGGCTGATGTGTGAACACAGTTTTTTTCCCCATCAAGAAATAATTTAAGAGATATTTGTTTGGTCCCAGAATAACTCCTTTTATTGAGTGCAGACTGAACAAACTCAAGAACACATTTATTTTAATAATCTGTCTCAGATATTATTTCAGTATTTTCTCTTTATATGTATAAACATTAAAACCATTCCCATGCTGATTAATTTGGTAACATCAAAATATCACCGATACAATGATAAACAAGTTGATATTTGTTTTTGGCAAGGCTTCAGGGTTTTTTTATGTCTTATTTTTTGTTTTTTTGTAACACTGAAAGCACACTAAATTGGCAGACATGAGAGAGGTAAGACAGCAGCTTTAATCCACTGATGGCTGATAGATAGTCTTGAAATGCTGTCATAGCTTATGCACTTTTGTCATGCAACTTGGCAGCGATTTTCTGCAACTCCATGTCCATCGCCGCAAGGTTTTCCAGCTCCTTCTCCTGCAAAATATACAGCATTCATACATCAGCAACTAAATAACATCATATTATCATTTTTTTGTCGTGACACCAGAACAGTCTATGTCTTTTACCATGTTTGGAATAGAAATAAATTGCCCTTGTTTTCCCAGGCTTGCTTCAAAGTTTTCATATGTTACAATATAAACTCTGAGTGGTTGCGTGCCCACTGTGAGACAATAAAATTCAGAAAGACATTCTCTGCTTTGTGAGTCTTCATTAAACAAGAGCTTCAGCCACTATTTTTGACATCGAGAACTGGATACTGGAAGTTGGGTGTAAAGTCTGAGTCCAGAGTTTCTAAATCTCAAACTTCCGCTTTGAAGGAAGGGTGGAGATGTTGAGGACGAGGCTTAGTTACAGCAGTATTTGTGGAGTAGGAAACGAACTGAAAACCGCAGAACAGAGTCCGTCTTTCTGGTGAGTAAATTCTGGGAATTACAAACCATGACTTTGCTCCTTATTACCTCTGCTAAGGAAGGTTATGTTTTTCCCTGTGTCTGTTGGTTTGACAGCAGAATTGCTAAAAGTACTGAACCGATTTGCACCAAACATAGTGGAGGGATGGTACATGGGCCAGGGAAGAACCCTGGGGTTGAAGGTGTTGATATCTATGACTTTGTACATATTGGTGCAGATCTCACAGACGTGTAGGATTGTTTGGCCTTAGTGGAGGTAAGAGCTCTACTGAATTCAACTTGCTCAGAATATATTTAACACAAATTCATGCAAAAAAAAAAGGTTGTCAATTAGATTTTTCATGTTACGATTCTGACTCTTGATACATTTACTTGATCTATGAATTATGTTGTTATGAATGTTGAGCATTTAATTCATCATAGGGCGATAGTGTGAAAACTGCTATGATCAACAGTTAAATTCTATTAGCAGTTTTTGGTTTTTTTTATAAGTGCATGGAAATGTGTCACAATTCGAATAACTGTTGCCAAGAACTGCGCTGCATCTGTTTCCTGTTCTTTATTAAACTGAAACTACCACCACACATTCCATTATCACTTGAGCTGTAAAGCTGTAGATCTAATAAATCACCATCCCTCCTCCTCCCTGACTTGTTTTTTGTGCTTCAAAATATTTTATGTGACAAGATAAGGATGTATCCATGGGCTCTCTTTTTAATGGCCGTATTATGACTTTGATTGCTCTGGGAGGCTTTAATCATAAGATTCTTAGTCTGATTGCTGCAGCAGTCATGAATGCTGTTAAGTGCAAATAAAAAAAGAGGACAAACAAGTCCTGCAAGGAAGAGCTGATCTGAGCAATGCAACGGTAGACTGTAAGTATGCCAGAGTTGGAGAACAAGTCACTGTCCATGAATATACTAGTTAGATTTTTTCCTTCATGTATTTGGGACATGCTCATGAGGGACAGTCCTTGATGTGCATTTGCACAGATGCATATTCACTGATGCTCTGTGGTTCTGAAGGCTAAATCCTGACATCTCCATGTAGACTAGAGATTTCCATAATGAGCGTGGCTGCTTTCTCCCCCAGTGAAACAGTGTGGTGGAGGTATGTGCTTCATGGATTTACTAGGTCAGCTGAATGCATGGTGGACATTTTTTTACGGAAACGGCTGCAGAGTAAATGATTTTACATTATGAATCGTGGTCGATATATTATATGTATGAAACATGTAAATGTATTCTTAAGTATCTTTCAGGGTAGACTCTGACTTAAGCGTTTTTTAAGATGTTTTGCTTGAATCTTGTCTGCTACATAGTGCTATTCCTCAGTATCAGACATATGAGATTCTGTGTTGCACAGTAAATTACAGTCTGTACTGCAGAAAACAATGTATTTTCTAGACTTCAGTTCAGCAGTCTTGTTAGTGAACATGACAGCAAACACATCCTCACGTCAGTCATAAAGGTCATTTTCTTTTGCCGTTAGTGAGTGCAGTTTTTACCTCCTGCGGGGTGAGTGCTCTCTGGTGCGTGCTTCTCTTTGCCTCGTCTTGATTAGAATGGTTGGCCAGCTGGTTTATCTTATAGCTCAGCAACTTGGCCACTTCATCCATCTGAACACATTAAAGGCAAAACCAAAACATATCTGAGCTGTACAATGTAAGACAATGCAACAATGCAAAGAACTACCACTTATATTGTTTCTTTTTTCGTATATACACGATAAATTAATTGACGTCATCATGCCCACCTTGTCTGAGGTTGCAGCGTGTTCATCTGAATCCCTTTTAAACCAGGCAGGATGGTAGTAGCCTCTGAAAATCCAGGGATTGCGCTTCTCTGCCAGATACCTGAAAAACAGTTGCAATTAGATGTATTCTTCATGTCAGCACATGGACCCCGCTTAAGGGATTTATTCATTTTGCTGTGTAAAATGTTGTTTTGATCCGCAGTGATTTGCCTGGTGCTCTGCAGTGTTTTGTGCTCCAGGGTGCAAAATACACATATGTACAATTTAATAGTAGAAGTTATTAGATGTGATGAAAGACAGGAGTACCTAAGAGCTTCGTCCCTGTCCTTTGCAGTGTCCTCATATTCCTCTGAATCACCCTTCTGTTCTTCCTCTTCTTCTGATGAGCCTCCGCCACGCTTGTGTAGTTTCTTTTTATGGTGGTATCGGTGTGTTGGTTTCCATATACGCTTTTCTATTTCTCCCTCTTCTTTTCCGTGTCTTTTGTCAAAGCCCCAGTACTCCTGACTGCGATCCCCGTCTGCCTCTTCTTGCTTTTCTTCTGAGAGCTCCTCATCCCGCTTGTGTCTCCTCTGGTGGTACCTGCCGGGTCTCCAGTCCCTCTTTTCTCGTCCAGTGTCAAAGTCCCAGGACTCCTGGCTGCGTTCTTCATCCGGCTCTTCCCTGCCTTCTTCGGAGAGCTCCTCATCACGCTTATGTCTCCTCTGGTGGTACCTGCCAGGCCTCCAGTCCCTCTTTTCTCTTCCACTGTCAAAGTCCCAGGACTCCTGGCTGCGTTCTTCATCGGGCTCTTCTCTGCCTTCTTCAGAGAGCTCCTCATCACGCTTATGTCTCCTCTGGTGGTACCTGCCAGGCCTCCAGTCCCTCTTTTCTCTTCCACTGTCAAAGTCCCAGGACTCCTGGCTGCGTTCTTCATCGGGCTCTTCCCTGGCTTCTTCTGAGAGCTCTTCATCACGCTTATGTCTCCTCTGGTGGTACCTGCCTGGCCTCCAGTCCCTCTTGTCTCTTTCGTCGTCAAGACCCCAAGATTCCTGGCTGCGATCCTCAGCTTCCTCCTCCTCGGATGGCTCATCACCACGTTTGTGGAGCTTTTTCTTGTGGTGGTAGCGATGTGTGGGTTTCCATATGCGCTTGTATCTCTCCTCACCCTCATTCCCATGCCTTTTGTCTACATCCCAGGCCTCTTGGCTACGTTCTTCCTCTGGCTCGTCCCTCTCTTCTCCTTCCTCATCTCGCTTGTGTTTTCTTTGGTGGTATCTTCCAGGCCTCCAGTTCCTCTTCTCTCTATCTTCACCTTCTTCTTCTTCTTCTTCTGATCTCTTTTCTTCTAACCCCCAACTCTCCTGGCTGCGCTCATTGTCCTCTTCTTCACCCCGTTTGTGTTTCTTCTGGTGGTATCGTCCAGGCCTCCAGCTGCTCCTCTTATCTCGCTCTTCTTCCTCTTCGTTCTCGTGTCTCTTCTCCCTCTCGTCATCCAGACTCCAGGATTCTTGGCTGCGCTCGTCCTCTGGATTTTCTCTCTTCTCCTCGACGGATTTCAGGAGAGCCTCAATGTCTTTCACATCTGTTGCCTTTGCTTCAGTAGTTCCAGGATGACCTTTGACCATCTCTTCATGAGTTGCTATGCCCTCTCCACTTTTCTTGTCCAGTGGGGCATGTTTAACCCCTATGACAGAGCAAAAGGAAGATCAAAAGAGGTATAAAGATCCACATAGTATAGCTCTTGGGGACAAGTTATGATGGATTTGCCATTTGACTTCAACCTGGACCAAATTAATTATGACTTGGTCATAACTAGTTTTGCATTTATGTTAAATTTACAGCCTGCACCGTGGAGGATAAAGAGAATGCTGAGTATATTTTCTGGAATGGAGAAGTGGCGTGAAAACCGTGAACATGCTGTTCTTAATTATACTATTTATGTCACCAGCTGGTTAGCAAGATATACAGTACAATTTATGTGTTTGAATTTATCAGGTCCTCAGTGTCTCAGCAGCCTAACAGTTAAACAGCAGCAATCTCCTTAAATATACAGTCTACATACACATGAAACTGTTTTAATGATTTATGCTGAATGAGCATGAAAAATAACAGTAACCCATGCGCTACAAACCTGCTTGGAGAATGTCTTTGCATTCCTGATCCAGCTGGGAGTCCGGTTTGGAGAGAGCTTTGGACAGGACTTCAACCAAACATCTAGTTATCTGCAAAAAAAACAAATAAACTAAATATGTAGTTCTATGCTCTTATCCAGACTTAATTCTTTTTTCTTTTCTTTTTTTTGGTTCCATAGATTGTTCTGGTTATTATCATAATTATCAAATTGCATTAGAAAAGCATACCACGTCTTCTCTCTGTCCTTCTTTTCCCACTGGAAACGCTAGATTTTCTGCATTAGAAAAAAATAAAATAAAATGTAAGTTCAATGTGGAATTGAAACAGTTTTGCAGGCAATAAAGTAGAGGCGTCGTCGCTGTCGCTGACCGTGGTCCTGAACTGATCTCACTAACTTGCAGCGTAGCGCTCTGCGAGAAGAAAACCCGGCGCTCTTTCACCTACCTGTCAACAGAGCCGCAACCGCAGCGAGAACAAAAATAAGTCTCATCTTGGCTCGATGAGGGTAAATCCCAACAAAGTGTGGAAAAGCACCAACTCCCGTCCCGTCCCCTTCGCGGTGGCAGGAGAGAGCTGCGCTGACTGGGCGCCTGCTGCTCTGAGGGCTGGAGCGGAGGAGCGCCTCAAATAAGGAGAGGAGTGGGCTGGAGGAGCGTGGGAGGAACGCTTTAGGCTCCGTTAGTGTCATGACTCATTAGACCTGCAAAGGAGAGTGACCTGAGTGAAATTCGATGCACGCATAAAGTCGGCATTTTGTGAAAAGCTAATTAGTAATCTAGTTAGTGCCACGGTTCCTTCAGGTGATAGTTTTAACGGGTTTAAGAGACGCTGGAATTAGAGCTCACGAGGCGTGTTTGTTTTAAATGTCACGAGATGCCTGAGGGCAGACCCGCACAGGGGTGGACACAACATCACGAAGATTTCCCGCACTCTTATGCAACCTGATACTAGAGCCCTGCAACCTTACTTTGGGATAATTGATCATTTTTTTTTGTGTGTCAGAAGCTGATTCAGCTCAGCCTCTGTTTGTGCTGCTGCTGTTGTTATCCATTATATTTGAAGTTGCTCCTTCCCCTCTTTACTGCAGGTCTGTTGTTGCTGTTGAATTGCATTAAGTTGCAGACATATTCATGATATTGTGCCCCGTTGTTCATTTCTTTTCTTTGTGTTTCAGAGCAGGCTTACCACAGTCTCCTGTGGTTATGTAATACCTCCTTGTTTTCAACTGCAATGTTGCCCTCCATTTTATGTTACCTTTAAATGATCAAATGTGGAGTAAAAAAAAAAAAAAAAACAGACATGTACAGCCAAAGAGTCTGACCAACCCTGAGTGAGAATTTAGCCCAAGTGACTCCTCAGTAATTCATTCAGCCTTCAGCACATCCTGTACAGTTTCCCATGGGAACTGGTGAGCTTCAGCAGCGTTAGAGGAAACTAATTAATGGAGACTTGGATTGATATCTGTTGTGGTTAACACATAAGTGACATGGATGTATTAGAAGAGTATCTTTCTGCTGTTACTGTAAGGTACATTCAGTGAAGGAATGATATTACTAGTTGTGGATACAGTGCTGCTCTGATCAGGAGGATTATGTGTCTGGTAATGCCTTCAAAAACACAGCGGCAGAGAAACATTCAAAATGTATCTGTTTGTATATGTGGATGGCAGTAATCTTATCTTCACTTCAAACTTCTTTTGACTCCAGAATTTCTATGAAACTTGGCATTGCATGAACAGTATCTGAATGAGTAACTGCTGCTGTCTTCATAACAAACCCTGGATTGGGATGAGCTGACATGTGCAGCGACAGAGCTCAAACGTAGTAGGCTCAGCTCAGCGTGGCTCAGAACATTCAAACTGACATCTACTGGCATCTTCTTTTTGGCACTTTGCATGATTTTTTCTTCTTGCCTCCTTGTACAGCAATTTGCTCTTCTCCAGTGCATATACTCTTTCATTCAGACACAAGAAAAACAAGTCAGAAAGTGTGTTTGAGTTACGAGAATAGGATACTATAAATGTAAAATAACTCACAGTCTCATCTACACATATGGTCCTCTGAGGATGCTTAAAAATGCATTTTTACATGGGATGTTTACACAACAAGCACTGACCTTAATATATGGCCAAGTGCATTCAAATTCAATCATGTCTTGGAAACTATAAGCCCAGAAACTGCAACAGCTGCAAGCAAAATGCGAATATCCTGCTCCATGATTCTGCTCTCTCCTCTGTGTCTCTCATGCCTACATGACTGGTTACAACATCTATCTTTGTTACTGCAGACAGCCTCCACTGTGGTAACTGAAATAATTACTGGTTAGAGCATAAAACAATAATGTCAGGCAGAGAATTGTACATCCAAGCAATACGCACTGATCCAAAGCAGCCAGTGAACCTAATCTTTTGTGTGAATGATAGTAAGACAACTTTCATTTTCACGTGCATTGTGTACAGTGAGCAGCAACAGCAACATCAGTAGCAGCAGGGTAACACTGCTCTGCAGTTTCCTCTACATTCCCGGGGGAGGGAGTCAAGTCTGTGACTGAGGCTCACTACTCCACTGTGAGCTATCCAGCCACTGGATATCAAAGGCACTGAACCACTAAATTATACAAGTCCCTTGCTCTGAACAATGTGTGTGTGTGTGTGTGTGTGTGTGTGTGTGTGTGTGTGTGTGTGTGTGTGTGTGTGTGTGTGTGTGTGTGTGTGTGTGTGAGAGAGTGTGTGTGTACACACTCACATGTGATGCTGTGTATGTGTTTTTATGGCCTTTACTGTTATTGCTCCAGGCCTCATTAATATTTTAGTGAGCCATGAAGACATGGGAACTTACAGGCAGAGAAGGGGGGATTTAAGAGGGGAAGCTCAGTTTGTGCAGACAGGCTCTGAAAACACGACTCAGATCAGTCTCTGTCTGCAACACCACCGCCCCTTTCATCACGACCATTTACATGCATGAACAAAAAGGCTCACGATGAGCACAATACAGTGCGCTGCATGAAAGCCTCGGCGGGGCTTTGATCTGTGGTGGGGATGAGCTTTATATTTGGCTCAAAACTACTGAGAGACTTTGATGATATTCTAAAAACAAAAGGGGAGTGATTCGACGGTCATCTGTGGTCAAATGCACTTACTTTTGCTAATGTCTGTCTTGTTGATGTATCATTATTGTCTGACATTTTGTAATTTTCTTTTGAGGAGCCACTTATTCTTGGTCTTTTAGCACAATCTGATGTAAGAAGTTCTCATTAATTAGCAAACATCTGTCCATCTCTAACTTGAAATATGATGTAAATTAATTTAACAATAATACTGACAGCACATTTACCAAGAATTATTAACACAGGCTTTAATGACTTAAAAACTTCACAGGAAACAAAGTCATTTAACCCTTTGCTAACTAACCAATTAAGATGTTGAACATGGTTAACATTACCCCTGCTAAAGCTCAGCATGTTAGCACTGACAAGGTGAATGTGTTAGCATTCTGATCATTAGCATTTAGCTCAATACACAGTTGTACTTAAGTATCTGCTAGCAGATTCTTAGTTTTGTTGACACAGGCAGGGCATTAAGATTAGATTATAAAGCAGGACACACTGGGTCTAGTACCATAGTATCATGTCAGATGATATGCTTTAGTGCATCATATTCCCAAATAAATTTTCAATTAAAATAATGAAAAGCAGGGAGTAGCCCAGTAGCTCACCTGGTAGAGCATGTACCACGTGTCATGGCTGAGTCCTGACTGCAGTGGCTTGGGTTTGAATCCAGCCCAGGGTCTTTGCTCTATGTCACAGCTACTCTCTGAGAAAAAGTTAGCAGAAGTTAGTGGTTAGCAAAAAGTAGCTGACACATAACTTGGAGGTCTTGGACCCTGAGGCAGTTTCCTTCTCTTGCTATTCATAGCTGTCGGCCAGTCAATAAACACTGACGGAGACTCAGACATAACGCAGCTCAAGTAATGGTGAAAAATAAAGGAGGATATACTGCAAAGAATATGATATGAAGTGTGGCTCCAGATGTATAATGCAGGTGTCATTACAAAGCTGCTTGGCTGTTTATTCATTCATCAAACAGAATGACAGAGGGATTGTATTGGTATCTTTTACATAATCTGTCTGTGTTGCCAGACTCTGTATCCCAAACTGTAATGCTATTAGCATCACTATTATAGCAGCAGGGTGATTTCTCAATACAGCACTCAATAGGACCCAAAAGGCCTGTGCAAGACTGAAAAGGCCTGTAAAGAGCATTCAGCTCTTATTTATTGTGTAATACAGGATTTGAATTGTCCTAATTACCCGACACACAGGTGAAGGTTAATCATAATATGTAATGCTTAAGAGTTCCTTTATGAATCCTTTAGCTCCCATCACTTCTTTCTGTTTTGAAATAAAATAGGATGCGACTCCACAATCAAATATCCGAAACAGAACCTGAAGTGACCCATGAAAAATAACACTGAATGTCCATACTTGAGGAACTGCACACTTGAGTTATTCTGCCGTCACCCATGAGTATTTCTTTTTATGACATCTGGCTTTGTTTTAGTAAAATTGCTTCATTTCAGTTAAATGAAGAAAGGTGAAGAACCTAATGAGGTCTTTGGGGAGGAAAGGATGATGAGTACAACTGAGCAAGGGTCAATGTAAATAAATTATGAATGGGGCAGAGCAGGCCCATCTTTATGAATATTTTGACAGCTCTAAAAGTATATTGTTCTCAGAAGAATAATGACCATTAAGCCGGTTGCACTAGCTGCAGAGGAGAGTGTGTTGCGGTACTTACTGCACTCCTAGCTACTTCAAAACTACACCTCTTATGGGTGTGGCAATAGTGCAGTGGAAATACATGACATGTTTCCAGTAAAAGATGAGAAGATGCATGTTTTGGTTAAGGGTCATGATTATGATTAAATGATGATTTTACTCAATTTCCTCTACTTCTGTGATGCCTTCATATGCGGAATAAAATCAATTCCACACTTGCGTGACATTTTGACAGCCCATGTCTGAGTCATGGAGGATGTCAAAACCCATACATCCAGCCAGAACGCCCGGGGCTCATCTGCTGAAGGATGTAACACCAGCAGCACTTCCAATTCTGCAGGACCAGCTGATTTTTAATGTGGTTTACTGAAAATTGCAAATGAAAGTCACAGTGTTATGGATGATGCAATGTCAACACTGGTCAGCACAGTGATCAAATATATCTCAATCCCAAGCCCAGGGAAGAGTTTGAGTGCTGATCACTCGGTTGTGGCTCTGACTGAAGGAAACATACAAATATTCAAAGGGGTGTGGTTTAACACCTTTATCAATCTCTGTGCAGCATAGTCGTAATTCTATGTTTTCTTTTATTTATTTATCTATTTGCCTATTAAGATTTACTTTATTAATTTGTTAAGATATTCATGAAAAGTGTTGTCTTCGTATCATGCAAAACCATCATTATACATCTGCAATGTGACATCAATGATGATTTTGGCTAAGAACGCTTTGGTTTCTGGGAAATCTTCTCTTGAAGTATGACTGAGAACTGACACTATTTTCACTTGTGTTTCAGCTGTTATTTATAGAAGCCTTCACTGTCGTTGTAATATACTTGTTTTTGTATACAACGAGCTACAATGAAGCCGCTTTAGTATAGTACCATAACCATACATTAAAGGTCTGTCAATG